ACAAAGATGGGCAAAATGTGGTGACCCCTGAGGCCTTTAATTTTTGTAAAGAGGTGATGTCTGGCTGGTGTGGGTCAGTGGTTGAGCATCGACCCAGGAACCAATAAGTCACTGGTTTGATTCTGAGTCAGGGCACATGCCTGGGTTGCAGCCTCCATCCCCAGTAGAGGACATGCAGGAGCCAGCAGATCGATGATGTTTCTCTCATCAATGTTTCTATCCTTCTCCCTTCCTCTCTCTCTAAAAATAAATAAGTGAAAAAAATTTTAAAAAGAAGTAAGAAATTTTTTTGTGTGCATGTAGCACTTATCAGAAATACTCTCCAGGGAGTTCCTGTTTCATTTCTTAACCACTGAGGTGCCGGTCATGTCAGCCAGACAGGGTGAGGAATTGTTTGGGCCCCTTTCCTCCTTTTTGTCTTTCTCTACTTTGACTAGATTGATTAGGACAGAGGGACAGGAAGGGGTGGGAAATTCATTGCGGAAGGCATTATATTGAGTTTGGTATATACTCTGAGGGTGCGAGCCAGGATCAATACTACTTTTTAACTTCACAAATATATATTATTTAAGTAGCTTTTTTGAAATATAATTCATATACTACCTTAAAGTGTACCATTCAATGGTTTTTAGTATATTCACAAAGTAAATATAACTACCTAATTTTAGAACATGTTCACCATCTCGGAAAGAAACCCTTTCCTCATTCATGGCTCTGTCCCATTCCTCCCAGTCCTCCCAGCCCAAGGCAATCACTAATCTGCTCTCTGCCTCTATAATAGAGTTGCCTGCTCTGTCCATTTCGTGTAAATAGAATCATACGATGAGTTTCTTGGTGACTGGCTTCTTTCACTTAGCATAATGTTTTCTAAGTTCATCCATATTGTAGCATGTACCTGTATTTTGTTTCTTTTTATGGCTGAATAGTATTCCATTGTATGGATATACCACATTTTGTTTATCCACTTATCAGTTAATGGGCATTTGAGTTGTTTCCACTTTTTTACTATTATGAATAATGCTCCTTTGAACATTTGTGGACAAGTTTTTGTGGGGGTTCATGTTTTCATTTCTGTATATACCTAAAAGTAGAATTCTTGCATCACATGATAACTCCTTGTTTAACATTTTGAGGAACTGCCAGCCTTTTCCACAGTGGTGACCATTTTTTATCTGACCCACTCATTGGTTATTAGCGCTTTTTTACTGTAACCATTTTATTGGGTGTGAAGTGGTATCTCAGAGTGGTTTTGATTTCCACTTCCCTAATGACTAATGATGTTGAACATGTTTTCATGTGTTTATTGGTTATATGGATATCTTTAGAGAAATGTCTTCGCAGATCCTTTACCCATTATTAAATTGGGTTATTTGGATTTTTATTATTGAGTTGCAAGAATTCTTTATATATCCTATATACTAGACCCATACCAGATATATGATTTAAAATATTTTCTCCCTGGGGACTGTATTTTCACTTTCTTGATAGTGTCCACAAAAGGTTTTAATTTTTATGAAGTCCAATTTATTCATTTTTTTCTTTCATCATTCTGCTTTTCCTGTTGTGTCTAAGAAACCACCACCCAGCCCAAGATCATGAAGATTTACTCCTGTTTTCTTCTGTGAGTTTCATAGTTTTAGCTCTTACATGCAGATCTTGGGTCGGTATTGAGTTATTTTTTGTGTATGATGTGAAGAAAGGGCCTATGTGAAGTTGTTCCAGCACCATTTATTGAGAAGGTTATTCTTTTCCTGTTGGATTATCTTGGCACCCTTTTTGAAAATCAGTTGAATGTAAATGGGTTATTTCTTGACTCTCAATTCCGTTCCCTTGACCTGCATATCAGGATCAGTATTTTGAAAGCTCCTCGGGTGATCCCATTACATTCAGTGCTGAGAACCATCTGGCCGGGGTAGGGAGTTTGGATGGTTTGATTGGCAGCACAACACAAGATTGCTGGAATACTTTTATTTCAGGTATACAGACCATCTGTTCCTAACTAAACCAATGTTTTTCAAACTTGCCTGATAAAAACCATCAGGGGTGCTTGTGAATAATAGCTTTCTGGCTCCTCTGTACTGGAGAGACAGGGCCTGGAAAAGGGTGGGAAGGGGCACTCTTTACGTGTGCCTGTGATTCTGGGCTCTTCCACATGGATATGCCTTCCCCATCAGTTGTCAGTGGATCAGAGCCTTCAGGAACCTGTATGATTAATGAGTTCTTCAGGTGGGTCTTATAGGCCAGCCCAGGAGAGCCTATATACTCGTACCATGGTCCTGCCCAGAATTGCTGTTCCCAAAGGTACTCTTGGGGTGAAGCTGTAGCTCTGTCTTAAGGGAGACGACAAGAAACAGCCTCATGAAACTTCTTGCCATATTTACTGTGAGCACTTTCCTGGCCACCTTACTTAATATTGCCTCCTTCCATGTACACACAGATGTTGTTATACCCACATTTCCTCCTCATCTGCCTTGTTTGCTATTTAAATTTCCCCTTTCAAGAATATTTAACTTCCCTTGTCTGCCCCATTAGATTGAAAAACGTCATGTGAGAAGGGATTTTTAGTTGACTGCATCATCTCCTGCACCAAGAACAGTGCCTGACACATTGTAGGCATTCAGTAAATATTTGTTAACTGAGTGGAAGGGGGTTGTCGAGGTTGAGGAATGAAGAGGCACATCTCTGTTTTGGCGTCAGCAGTAGTCATTCTGCTTTGGTTTTACTGCATGACGCCGTGAATCGTGACAGTATGTGTTTCTCTCTTTGCAGGAGCCACTCAGAGTAATGCCACATTTATGTCCAGTGTAACACGGGTGCAGGACAGGACTCACCTGTCGTGTACTAACCTCTAACATTATTTCTTTAAGCCATCTGCTTGTATTGTGTGCATCTCTACACACACACAAATCCTCTTTGGAAGCTGGTAGGCTATAAAGGAATATTATTTAATCAGCTTGATGAGAATGGCTTAATTTTGGTCATTCCTCTTGATTTGAAATCGAAAGCTTGGGTTCTAGGTGGAGGAGGACTTTAAATAAAATCAAATTCTGCCTGACTGGTGTGGTTCAGTGGTTGAGCGTCGACTTATAAACCAGGAGGTCACGATTTGATTCTGGCTGATTCCCATTCAGGGCACATGCCCAGGTTGCAGGCTCAATCTCAATTGGGGAGCGGGCAGGAGGCAGCCAATCAATGATTATCTTTCATCATGGATGTATCTCCCTCTCTCTCTCTCCCTCTCCCTTCCTCTTTGAAATCAATAAAAATATATTTTAAAAAAAATCAAATTCCTCTTTCATTCTTCCCCTTTTTTATATTTTAGGATAGAGTTTTTGCGGCATTTGAAGAGCTTTTTCCAGATTATGTTTAAAATTGAGACCAAGCCGTGTGGCGAAGAATGCAAGGGCGGGGATAAAGTGCTCATGACCTGTGTTGGCGTTGGCTTCTCCAACCTTAGCAAGACCCTCAAGTGATGCTGTCACAGGATTAAAGGCCCCAGCGCCTACAGACAAAGCAGAAGCTGCCAAGGACCCAGAAGACTAAGTCCAAACAGGGCAGCAGAGCCTCGGGTATTGAGGCCTTCCTTCACTTTCCATTTAAAAACAATCAAACTATGCAAATAAAAGACATATTTATATCATGTGGTTTCCAGCCATTTCTCCAGTGGTATTGCCATTCCTCAGGAGGCCTGTCACGATGTGCTCCCTCTGCTTACCTGGACAAAGAACAGGCCTGCAGGACACAGTCACGCTGCTAGACCATCGGCACAGCTCCACGTCAGCCGTGCTTCCTCGGCCCACATCCCTGGGCTCCTGTCGTGTGGCCGTTTTCCAGACCTGTGGCATCTGTTACTGTTCTTTCTGCAAGGACGGACCTCTTTGAACCTTGGTTCCTGTGTAGGGATTAAATGATACAACCACAGTGGAAACTCTTTATGAGTAACGCAGTGTTATGCAAATTTCAGAAAAAAAAAACACAATGGTATATGAGACCATTTCATCCCTCATCATTGGATTGGACTCCGCTGTCTTGGAGACAGAGTCTGCTCCCTGTCTGGTTCATTGTGTGTGTGGGGATGAGTGCCTGGGGGTTGGGGGGTTGGGGAGGAAGGGGTCCAATTAAAGTTACTGGATATTTTCTCTATCTCAGTTGTGCTATACATTTTCTTATTCTCATAATAACTCTGTAATGTAAAATTTATTCCCTCCGCAAGAATATTCAAAAAGGATATTTTGTTCCTTTGAAATTTATAATGTTAAGACATTAGACCACTTGACTTAAAGATCTTAGTGTAATAATGTCAGAGTCTGGAATTTTGCCTTACGTATAAGCTAGGAAGTTAGATTATTAATGTTTCATGGATGCTAGCAGAATACACGAGAGTCCTCACTCAGAGTCAGAGAACTGTCACTCAGAGCACAGCGAGCAGCATGACTTCATGTTTGTGTTGGCTCCTCCTGTTTCCCACGTCCCACATGGTGACGTGGAGGGGCCCAGGAAGGTGCCATTCACGCAGTGGGTTGCATCACAGGCAAGGCACATGCGTGCTTGGGGACTCTGCCCCCTCAGCACACCTGCTCTTGTTCCAGGTGTGGACATGACTTAATCTCTCTAGATTGCTTGCAGTGAACACAGTTATGAGAAGGGGGCCGGGTAAAGGCCTCCCCAGCACGAATGTCTAGGAATATTAAGGGTTGCAGTTAAGGCATCGGAGTTGGTAGAAGGGGGAAGATCTAATTCTATTAGGATTCCAAGTGGTATTCCCCTCCTGGGGTGGGCTTTGGAAGTATGAAAAGTCTTTGCCTCCCTAATCCTCTTGGCACCCTTTTCTTTTTCAGTGAACGGGGCCTGAGCAAGTCTGTTGTTATGACTGGGGTGCGGGAGGATGTGGCGATGGAGGCTAACATTAAGGAAAGCCAGACCATTTTGAACTGTGCACTCTGCTTGCTGAGAGCTTCCCATGCTGTATTAGTTTCTGTGGCTGCATACCACAAACTTAGCAGCTTAAAATAATAACACATTTATCATCTCACAGTTCTGGAGGTCAGAGGTCCGGGTGGGCGTGGCTGGATTCTCTGTTAGGGTCTGACAGCTGATGTCAAGGTGTCAGCCAGTGCTGAGAATGTGCTTCCAGGTCACTCAGCTGGTAACATTCAGGTTGTAGGACTTGAGGTCCTCGTTTCTGGCTGGGTGGGGCCAACTCTGAGCTTAGGGAGACTGCACCCTTTTCTCATAACTTGGTTCGCCCCGTCTGCAAGCCAGCAGTGGTGCATCAAACCGTATTGTTGCATCAGATCCTTCACGTGCTTTGAATCTATAACTTCCTCTTGTACGGGCTGAGGAAAACATTCCTTTTAAATGACTCAGATCGCAGTTCCCCATGGATAGCCTTCCCATCTTCAGGTCATCTGATCGTAGCATACCTAGATTAGAGTTTGACTGGCCAGGGGATGGGAATCTGTCCATCACCTGAGGATTCTGCATACCTCACACGCTGAAATCTTATTTAGCGCTGCTGACGCTTGAGCCCAGATCTTCCAGTGTTTGGCTACAAAACTAAGGGTCCGCATGTCACATACTCCTCTACAGGAGTGTTCGTCCTGTAAGAGAAGCTGTGGCAGTGGTACTGTTGGTCAATTTAGGGTGTCATATGGACTCCAGGCAGGTCATTGCAAGCGGCAGAAGGAGCGTGTGCCCCTATCTGCTGTAAACACAGAAGTGGCTGTTGGTTTCCAGCCTCCCATCTGGCACAGCTGCTTTTGGAGTGGCAATATCTGGCAGTAGTGATGATGATATGGCCAAAGAAGAGGACACATTTAATATTTAAACAGCCTGTTCCCAGCCCTTTTTCTGAAATGCCCAAGAGGAGCAGCACCACTCTTGGGAAGAAGCCATCCCGGGCAGGTCTCTGGCACATATTCGTGACAGTCAGCTCCTGGGGCCTCAGCCTTGTTCTTAGCTTAGCTCCTGATTGGTCCAGGAACCCCGGGGTAGTTTGATGAGAGATTCCAGCATTTGGGGCTTGGTTTTCTGCCTTGGCTTATCTGCTCCCTCAACAGAGATAGAGCACTCTGAGATAGACCCTCAGTGAGACTAGTGATGGTTGTTTTTTTTTGGTTTTATTTTTAAAGCATAATCTTATTGGGGTCATGGGAGAATCATTGCCTTTACCTTCCTGTCATTTACCAGGCCCTGATTCACCTGTTGACACCTTCCAACTATATTCTGTGTAAACACCAGCTAGCCCCCCTCCATCATCATCATTATGTTGCCATCTTCATCAGGACAGTTGATAAGGGGTGGAGGAAGCTAGGGCATTGCAACATGCCATGCTGATGGGGAAAGAGCAACAGGAGACTCTGTGGAAATCCAAATTACCGTCATAAGGCAGCTAAGCCTCATGGGGTTTTGTTTTATCTTTTCTGATAAAAAGTGGTGAAGGACATCACTGATTACAGACCCAACCAAAAAAAACACACAAAAAACCCAACCCAAAACTTAAGTTGCAGCGTGACCCTGTCCTCTCAGTCCCTCTACAACTAGAGACCAGGCGATGGCCACTTTCCATTAGGTCATTGGTGTTGGGAGGCTCCCAGGAGAGGCCAAGGGTGGCTGAGGGGAAGAGTTGAGGGTGCAAAAGGCAGTGAAGCACGTAGGCAGGATGAATTAGAGGAGGCTTGAAGAAGCGGGTAAAATCAGAGGTACCTGGAGAAAAGGAAACAGCAAGGAACTAAATTACCACAGTTTTAGCTGAGCCCAAAGGATTCACCTGGGTGAGATGAGGGGACCAAGGCAGGGTGGAGAAATGGATTTACTGGGGCCTTGGTCATGGTGAGAGGATTAGAATGTGCATTTCCATTGAGTTTTTCTGCTGGTTCTTTGTTGGAGACCGGTAGAGGTGCCCATGGACAATTTTAGCCAGTCTGTGACGAGTGGGAAGCAGTACCATAGCTGTGTGCCCAGCCTGGGTTTCCATTATTCCTTATCTGGCTCTAGAGTGGATGAGAACTAGTGACCTGGGCCTAGAGTGTCCATGTGCAAAGAACTCTGGCCCGTGTTCAGAAGTGACTAAATAGCTCAAGGGAGTGCCAATAGGCAGCCAGGTCTTTTCCTGCTCTTGGTGGGCTAGCTCTAAGAAGCCATTTGAGTGGGATAATTTATCCATGTTTGGCATCTGACATAGGCCAAGCTACATCATTCCTTTACCGTCAAGCAAATAAAAACTCATTTTGTCAGGGGCTACCTGGATTGGAGACTGCTTTGATTCTTTGTCACATTTGGCCCATATCTCTGAGACAGTCTGACCTCATACCTGAGGCAGGGGCCTCGGGCAGCACCTGTTGATGGGTCAGGGCAGAGTGTTTACTCCTCCTCTTGGTCCTGATGTTAGTGGCTCTGGATGTGCCCCCTGCTCTGCTGAGACCTCTCTTGGGACCTGCAGGGGAGGTGATGGGCACCTCAGGAGTAAGTGAGGCTTATCTTTCTTTCTGCCCCAGCTCAGCTCCTAAACAGCTGTGACAGCCTTAAGTAATTCACTTCTCCACACTGGGGTGTCCTCTGTGGAATCAGGGAGATGTGTGCAATGGTCAGAAAAATCAGGAAGATGCCCTCTTGCCTTTTCTGCCCTTCCCTTATACTTACAGGTTTATTTGGGGTGGCAGGAAAGTTAGTTGCATTGTATAACCTTTTTAAACATTGAGATGTTTTCTCTGAGTTCTCCGGGCACTCGTTATTTCTGTGTTTCCTCCCCATTCCTAACCCCCTAAAGATCTTTACATCCCAAAATATTCAGATTGATTTTAACACTTTCTGCTATGATTTGGGAACTGTATATTCAAATGGATGCAAGCAGGTGACTTTCTAGAAATCAGAGGCCAACTTAAAAGACGAAGGAAAATGAACCAGCCCAACAATAAGACACACAACAACTTCACGTGTCCAATCTGTGACTACTCTGTCACCACAGCCGTGAGAGTGGGACTGCTGCTGGGCTCTCTGGAGGCCGTTGGGCACCTTGTCTCTGTTTTAGGAGTAGAGGGTGTTCCCAAGGAAGGAAAATGGTAGAGACAGCTGCCTCTTCCTGCTGCATCTGGGAGTGGTCAGGCATTCGGAAGCCCTTTCTCGTCTTTAAGGAAAGATATTCGTGGGGACCTTCTATTTTGAAATGGTGCCTGGCTTGCTACATGCAGAGATCCAGTATCAGGTCACGACAACTGACCTCGGGCTATTTTAAGTGCTGAGTGCACTTGGTTTCTGGACCTTCCCGCACAGTTTCGACCTCTGCTATTTTATCTATTAGGCAATTAAAGGCATCGTGCCTAAGATCTGTAAACTTTTGAAAAACCAATGGAAATGTTTTCAAAAATCAAACAAACAAACATAGGGAAAACAACACTGGCTCCAAATTATGCAAAGAAAAGAGCAAAAATAGTAAAGTATCCTCAAAATGAAACAATTCCCACCTTGTTAGAATATTAAAAACAATAGAGGTGAGACTTTTTTTCTTCATAAGCACTTCCAAGCCCCCATGATTGCCAAGGAATCATAGTTAATCATCTATTACATGAGCTGCTGGTCAAGCAATTTAAAAGGCAAAGTCATAAAAAGCACTTCAGAACTTTGGGAGATGGCTGCATTGTAACATGTGTGGTTTAGTAATCCTGCCATAAGAGGACTCGAGAGTAAAGCTGTGTAGTGCTCCCCTCACTGAGCCACCTAGTCATTCTCAAAGCCCTGGCAGTTGCTGAGGTAGCCCCCACTGTGTCCTCATCACCCCGGGGTGCCTCTCCTGTCGAGCTCTCACCACACAGTTGTTTCATAGTTCTCTTTCCTGTTAACCTAGGATAGTATGGGCTGGGTTCATCTTTTTAGGTTTGGCGTGGCTATGATTTTAAAGCTGTTTCTGAAAGCTTTATTTTTTTTAAAAGATTAATTCAATCATTTATGAGGAAGGCTTTTGGATTCTTGAGTTTCAGTAGAGCACTGTGGAAGTAGCAAAAGGTCAGGAATGAGACCTATGTTGGAACCCTAGCTGTGTCAGTCGGCGCGTGGCACTGTGCAGGTCCTCCCCCAGAGATGAGCCTCCTCATCTGCAAGCTGGGAAATACCTACTGCCCACCCTGTATTGAGAGTATTTATTAACA